TAGGAAAGTGGTTATGGCGATTTGGAAGGGAACGACATCGTCAGTGGAGAAGAGTTGTCTCGTGTCGTTTTGGTGAGGGGAGTGGGGGTTGGTCATCTCTTCCAGTTACTATTACGGGAGGCGTTGGTTTGTGGAAATTTATTCGGAAGGGATGGGATGTTTTCTCTACTCTTATTAGATTCAAAGTTCGTAATGGCAGGCATGTTCGTTTTTGGGAGGATCTTTGGTGTGGCGACCAGTTGCTTTCACACTCATTTCCTAGGCTTTATAGCATTGCAACTAATAAGCATGTTTTCGTGATTGATTGTTATCATCTTGATAACAATGGAGTTACGTGGGATGTGCGGTTTAGGCGGTCTTTTCAGGATTGGGAAATGGAGGAAGTTTCTGCTTTTTTGGATATTTTGTATAGGCAGAAGGATATTGGCATAGGGTGTGATGATATTTTGTGGGTTCCTTTGGCTCATGGTCGGTATGATGTCCGCTCTATGTTTATTCATTTATCCAATTTCATTGGTTCCGAGTTTCCTTGGAAGTCCGTGTGGTGCTCTAAAGCCCCTCTTCGAATCGCGTTCTTCGCTTGGACAGCTACATTGGGGAAGATTTTGACTTTGGACAATTTGAGAAAGAGAGGCAACATCATTGTTAATTGGTGTTGTTTATGCAAAGATGACAGTGAATCCGTGGATCATATTCTTTTGCATTGTCCTGTGGCGTTTGGTTGTTGGAGTTTTATTTTCAGCATTTTCGGCATTTTTTGGGTAATGCCTAAGCACTCCTCTCAGTTGATTAACGCTTGGAAAAGCTGTCCTGTTAAGAAACAAGCTCGTGCTTATTGGAAGATTGTTCCTCATTATGTCTGGTGGTGTTTGTGGCGTGAGAGAAATAACAGATCCTTTGAAGGAAAAGAATCGTCCTTAGCTAATTTAAAATTTCATATTCTTCGTTCTTTATTCTTTTATGTTAGAGGTAGTACATGCTCCTCGATTGATGATTTCTTTGATCTCTTGGATTCTATTGGTCCTTAGATCTTTTCTCTTGTATTAGGGATGCGTTCCCCTTTTGAACGTTTTTCTAATATATTTTTACTTATCAAAAAAAAAAAAAAAAAAAAAACAGTTGTCTAGGGAATGAATGTGTGTGTGTGTGTGTGTTGGGGGGGGAGGGGGAGACCAAGAAAGTAAGCCGAAGTAGAATTTTTAAACCCCATGTAAAACTAGGGCTTTGTTACAAAAAAGGAAAGAGAATTCTGTTATGAGAGAGATATTTAAGGAAATAAAAATTAAAGAAATGAAAATAAAGATTATGTTGAGGAAATGCTTTGTTGAAGCTGTAGAGGAAGAAAGAGTTTTCTGATGGGAAAGGGACCAAAAAATGAAAAGAAGAAGATAGGGAAAGAGGATTTGTTGAAGGAAAAAAAAAAAAAAAAGGGCTTGCCGATTGCCAGCTTCGCATGGCAAGTTCAAAACTTGCTTGCAAAAGAAAGCAAGAATCGTGCCTCTTTTTTTTGTTCTTTGTTTTTTTTGTGATCTTTTACAATTTTAAACAAGTAATAAACATAAAAGAGTAAATAATATTTATTGATACATATCATTAAAAACAAATCCTCCTCTCTTTTTTTATGTTATGTCACCGTACTATTGAGAATAATTCCACGTATTTACATTTTAACCATCTTTTCTCGAAGTAATTTAAGGAAATCCATAAAATGAGACGGGCGTTCCCACAACATATCCAAAAAAGGAAAATATTCCTACACATTTTTCGTCATGTTCTACGCATTTAAGCCCATGTCCAACACGGGTCTGTGTTCGAAACAAACACTTCAAACTTTTAGGCATGTCCATGCTTACTAGGAAAAAACATCTCCATCCACCATCAGTAATATGAAATGATTTAATACCCTCATTTTGATTAAAAATATGGGGAAAAAGATGCCCTTAATTTTACTATACATATTATTTCCCTTTCTTTTTCCAACTTGCTCTTTCATTTCTCCCTCTCTCTCACTTCTCCTTTACTAAAAAGGTCTATTGTACAAATATCCATATATATATATATATATATATATATATATATATGTATGTATATTCATATATAATTTGTTGCCTCCTAATACATATTTATGTATATACATCTATACGGCTCAAGCATAATAAAGGCACGTTCAATTGCCCAGATGGATGAAATACAAATTGAGACACATGCTAGTAGTGGACCTCATCTGAGGCAACTAACCAAGGGTTTCATGCCCCTTTTTTTATGTATGGAAACGCTTGAGTCACTATAAGTGGAACTCCTCTCTAGTCAACTTACTTTAGATTTTATATCATTTTCACAACAAGGAATTTCTTGACTCATTATAAGTGGAATTCCTCTCTAAAAAGTGTTTATTGAATATGGATTAGGGAATCAATAAGCAAGCAATTGCTAAAAGTTCGAGAAAAATATGAACTGTACCTTAGGCTCTAAAGTAAAGTTAGTACATGACCGTCAGCTAGACCTAAAGAGCGGTAGGTAGGTCACAAACTAATGGAATTCACTAACTTTAACCAAAATTCGAATTTTAACCAATTATAACCGAAATTTAAATTTTAACTAACTAAAAGAGAGCAAATTAAACGATTCAATCAATCAATCCATGGAATGTAGAATATAAAATAAATCACATCCACACATGAACACAGGGATTTACGTGGGGAACCCTATAAAGGGAAAACCATAGAACCTAGCCAAGCAGTTAAAAATCAACTATGAAGAGAAGGTGCAGCTAAGTTACTAGATTCTAACCTAGCCTCTATGGCCCAGACTTACGCAAGACCGAAGCAGGTCCTCCAGCCACTACTCCTCACGCAATATGATCTCCTCAACCATTGTTGAAGATGAATTAAGCACAATGATTAGGGTTTCCAAACCCCATAGGACCCACTCACTGATCTAAAATGAATGAATAAGGTCAGAGAAATTTAGAATTTCTAGAATGCTCTAACTTCAATGCAAAAATATGCCCTCTAGTTTATGTGTAACATACCAAGTTCTCCAAAACCAAAATGGTATTTATAAAGAGTTTAAGCATTATAACAATTAGGGTTATAAGGGTATCAATTCAAAAAGAAAACTGATTTTTGCAGGGATCAAACCGAATGACACAAATAATATTGCACTCAATTGATTCCTTAATAGACCCAAAAACCCTGTTCTTGTTAGGTTTAGGCAAACATATTTTTTGGAAACTTCCTAAACATAAAATTCAATCCAAAAGAGGTTTTTGAAGATCAAAACATACTTTTATGCATAAACCATAAGTGGTGAGTGTTCATGAGCAGTTGTTTTTACCTTTTCTGCTTAAAGACTTTGAAATACTAGATCTGCCCTTGGATAAGGTAACAACAATTAACACGTTTAATTAGAGATTCTAAAGCACAGAAAACTACTAAAAATTATGGACTCCAAATTTTGTTCCACAAATTTGCCAACATAAGTCCTAAAATCCTAACAATCTCCCCCTTTGGCAATTTGTGACAGAACTGTTAGAAATTTGAACAATAATAAAAATAAAAATGACTAAATTCGACTCAGTTCTTCAGTAGTTTGAGTAGAACCAATAACTTGATATATTATCACCTAGATATAAGCTACAAAACATAAATAATAATAAAACACTATACATGTGCATTACACCAATGTGCAAACCATTAAACCCAAAATCTAAAAGCAATAAAACAATTATTCAATCGATTTTCGACACATCATATAATCAATCATATGATGTATAGAGAGAGTTTGTAAGGGTTTAGGGAGACAGCTGAGAGCTATTGAGGATTTATGAGTTGGGTGTCTTTGTTTATAGAGATTTAGGGTCCTAGTGTTGCTCCAATTAAGATTAGAGTTACTAGGAAGTTTTGAAAATATGTAAGAAGGTTCTAGTTGCCTAAAATTTCGTGCGACCTGCATTAGGAAACAGACAGACATGACATCAATTGATCAACCTATCAGTTGAGGACTTCTGGACAACTCCCAATCAATTGAGCTATTGATCGAGCACTTGAGTTTTCGAATCACTCCCAATGGATCAGTGTACCTATCAAACCTCTTTGGAGTGATTTCAATCAATCAAGCTATTAATCGAGGCTCTCTGGATTTTAAATATAATTTTCTACAAAACACCCTTCATCGATCAAGGTAAACCTCAAAGCATTCTACCCTATAATTTTAAAGTTTTCAATTTTTCAAGCTTTTAAAGCCATAAATCGAAATAATAACATAGAATAAATATAAATTCTAGTTTCCTATAGATTTTAAATAAGACTCAAAAATAAAATGTTTCTCTATAAAAGGCATAAAGATCTAAGTTGCAAAGGCCAAGGATCAAAATCCAATATATACATTATAAATAGTGAAAGCAAGAATTTCAGGACCAAGGTTGCTGGTATGATTCTTATAGCTACATATTTTTTGTTAACTGGGGAAACAGCATGATCAATGTTATTAGGCAATATAAACACATCCTGTTCTACAACAGATGTGAAGGAAAAAACAAAATTGCACAACTGAGAATTATAAACCAGTCATTTTTTTCTCAGTAATCTACTCAGCATGAATAAATTGACAGGAACAACTGATACGTTCATATAAAACAAAAAATTAGTCAAACCTAAAACTCCGCTCGCATATTCTCCTTCCCTTCACTCGAGCGATCTAATAATCAGTAAGATACAACCAACTACTAGATATTGGCAACAAGAAAACAAATCTTGCAATTCTACTGCCATATTTTCTACTAAGATCACAGGCTAATGTGATTCCATGCCGTATCTATCCACCAATGTACTTATTTCCAAAAAAAATTGATCAACAGAAGACAAGAAAATGAGATGAAGAAAGACAAAGTATAATCGGAAAAACAAAAACAAAAAACAAAAAGTTCCAAAAAAACAATGAGAATAGAAAAGGCAACAAAGGGAGAGAAGAAGAAAGAATAATTGAAACACAGTTTTTACCGCTACAGTTTTTTTTAGACATCTTTTTACTGAAGGCCTGACACATGCCATCATCAGTCCCAAAAGAGCTTGCGCACTGCATTCACGATAAAGAAACCAAGCAATAGTTGTAAGCCATAAACCATTATTTCCCCACAAATACATCTAATCTTGCCTTCATGTTTAATGGATATACACACCCAAAAAAAAAAAAAACTATCCATAGTACCACCAAATAAACTATATATAAATAAATAAATAGCATTAACAGGAGAACCTAATCAATAACAAAAGTGAATGCATGATTTATTTAGAAAATAAAAAATAAAAAATTGGCAGCCCATATTGCAGTTCAACAAATTCAAGTACTCAATGAATTCATGAGAAACGGGTGTTGTTGACAAGCGGAAGGTCTGACTGGAGACTTTCAGGATAAAGCTTGAAGTCTTCTGTGTCATGAGGTAACTAGAGAATTTTAGGGGTAGAACCTACAACCTATTTTGTAAATCTCTTTCTCATGTAGTGGATTTGGCTTTGCCTAAATTAGGTTCCGTGTCTTTTCCCTAAGAGTTTTCCGCATACAAACATGGTGTCCACTACTTTATGTTTTTATTGTTGTGAATTGATATCTTTTTATCATCTGCTATAATTTTGAGATGAATTGCAGTTAATGTAGTTTAAACCAGATTTTAGTCCTACAAGACCTATTCACTGCCCATTCTGGGTCTAGATCAGTGAACCTTGCGCGACTCTCTATTAGAGTCTCGGGTTCCAGTCCTACGAACTATCATATAGATTATTCCATTTAGATTTAAAAATTTTAAATTGTTAAAACTTATTAGTTTCAAAGTTTAAAGGCGCCTTGAAATGCAAATAATAATCCCATGTTGGATTTGACTCAATCTCATTTATAAATAAATAAATAAAATGAAAGTCAAACTCTACAAAGAGAACAAAAGAAGTACTATATAAATATGAGAAATAATTATTTTTAAGAAACTAATTTGCCTAACAACAATTTTAGTTAAAACACATAGAACTATTTTTTAACCATTTCAGTCCCTATATTAGTTCATTAACATGGAAGTATCCCTTTCCCATAATTTGGCATGAGGGAATGAGTTTAAGGTGGGAGGGTTAAAAAGGCATCCTAGGAAAGAAAGCTATAATCACTCCTTTTGTTAGATTGAACAAGGAAGATTTCTATTTACGCACTAAAAAAAAGTTATGGTCAGAATAGATAAACAAAACCCAAAAGAAAAAAAAAAAAGAAAAAGAAAAAATAGACTCCTTCCTATTTCTGCCGACTTTCAAGAGGAGAGCCGTTTGCTTGGTTGTTGATTGGGGCTGCATTGATTGCAAAAATCTAGCTAGATTGATCAACAGCAATGTGTATTAGCATAGCAAGCACAAGCACGATAAAGTAATTGTGTAACCAGACTCATGAGCAGATGAGTAAGCAGCCCAGAAAGCAGGGCTAAGTCCCCCCGGACCAACCGGATCAATCTTCTCTTTCTCCCCTTCTTGAGAAACCTTGGGGGCATGGCAAGAGAGCGAGCCAAAAAGAAATTGTTTAGCCTTTATTACATTTATTGATGACCGGTCTCGTGCTACATTACATGGATTTTAAAACATAAAAGGGTATGTGATCAGCTTGGAAGATTCCTTCCTCTTTCTTTCAGTCCTCCTCCTTCCTACCACAAGATAGAAACCTCATTAATCCTTTCCCTTTTTGTTCCATCCTTTCCTTCCTTTTACTCTTTCCTCTTACCAAATTGACCATTACATTTTGTCCATTAAATTACACAATAAGCACATGCGTGACAAAAAAATCACATAGCTTTTAACTCGTTTTCATTCCAATTATAATTCATCTCTAAAGAGGCACAACAAAGAAAGATTTTGGAGGTCGGGGCATTTCCCACTTAACTCTGTTTTAAGAGCTGCTGTTCAACTTGACTAAATCACTTAATTTTCCTTTCTTTTGAAAGTTAGAGAAGGAATTATGTACGTTTGTAAAGCACGGGCACATGCTTCATGGTAAAATACTCTTTAGTCGGCGTGTGGTGCGATAGTCATTCAATCCAACTTTCTATGTGAAAAGAAAAATCTAGTAAGCAATGTGGTCAGAATAAAAGTTTATGAATTCAAGCACTCAACAGCCTTGACATGTAGTTTCAAATAAAGAGCACATATACCTCTTTAAAGAGCAAGGTAAGCTCTTCGCACGACATAAAACTTCGATCAATACAGCCTGCATACTCCTTATTCCAAGACTCTATATTTGTGGCAGCAGCAGCATTACGATAATGGTCATCGAGACCTGCAGAGAAAATTTTAACAGGAAGATGTACCCAGAATATATTGCAAACAGCATTTATGCAAGCATAGAAGCACCAAAGAAGAAAACACAACACAACAAATATGCTATTTTTATTTTAATATTGAACAAATGTAGGCACAATTTCGCTTCAGGTTTTGGCATCGAAAGAGACCATAAGTGACCACACAAAATCACCACTGAAAGCACTGAAATTTTGCACTTCAAACGTCAAAAAGGAAAATCAGAGAAACAGTGGTACGCTAACAAGAACGAACCACAAAGGTGGAATTAACTATTGTGTATACGGACATATAAGTGTAGTAGTAGATATAAAGCATATATATATATATAGACATGAGTAATACACACACAAACGAACATTCATGTATGGATATATATAAGGATAATGATTGCTACCTTTACCATTTGAACGAGAGCTCCTACCAAATCTGCCACCTCCGCCACCTACGCCACATCTTGCTGCAATAGGTGTATCAAATAACATCGAATCAGAGGAAAGACGATGACTATACCACACAGATCAACCCGAAAGTAAAAAATTAAAATTAAGCGAAAAAAAAAAATCATAATTTCATTTTCCTATAAAGTTGATTGCTTACCACCACCACCACCATAACGTCCCATAATTCAGATATAGACAAGGACAATTGGGAACCAGAAACCCTCAACGATCAAATCTGGTGCTGTGAAATAACTCGTACGCTACATCATCACAAAATTTGGGATAAGGATAACTTCTAAAACAATGAAAATGTTAAGAGCACCTTATTTGATGATAATTAGGTTCCATACTTAATTTTGAATTAATTAAATAATTATTAAATTAAATGAAATAAACGAATATCACAAACAGAAATTATTTGATAATATTTGATAACCATCTACATAATAATTATTTGATAATATAATCCAATATCACAAACAAAAATTAGGGAGTAATTTCAAATGAAATAAAAATTTAAAGAACCTGAACATTTAGGGTGTGTTTGGTAGGGTGGATTTGGAGGGATAAGAATAAAAAAGAAAAGAGAGGATAGTGTAAGTTTATGTTTGGGTAAGGTAAGTGGAGGGATAGCTATTCCTTCCTAAGGAGATATAGGGAAAGAAAGCATAGTGATTTTAAGTAGTATTTTAATAATACCAAAATTAGCCTCCATAAATCAATATACAAATTTATTATTCCATTAAAGTCCCATGGTTATGAAAGGGTAAAAAAGTAATTTGTTTACTATTCTTTCTTTTCTTTTCTTTCATCTACCTTATCCAAACAAGAATATCTATCATTTTTTTTATTTTCTCCCCTATCTATCCAAACACTAATATAAATTATTATTATCATTTCTTTTCTCTTATGACTAATACTATCTTTCTTTTCTCCCCTATCTATCTAGGTGTGTTTGGTAGGGTTGATTTGGAGGGATAGGGAGAGAAAAGAAAAGAGAGGATAATGTGAAGATGTGTGTTAGGTAGGTTAAGTGGAGGGATAGGGAGCTATCCCTCCCTATCTTTTGTTGCCTTTCTCTCCCAATTTGAGAAGATAGGGAGAGAAAAGATAGTGGGAATAAGATGTAAAGTACTAATACCAAAAATGCCCTTTAGAAATCAACACACTCAAATGTAATTCCATTCATGTCCCAATTAGTTTGCTTTCAATAATTTGCTGCTGTAAAGTTGATTCTATTTGTACAAGTATTAATCATTTATTTATTTGAATATAATCCACCAAAGAAACACATTTAATTGCATGATATGTAGCATTTAATTTTAATGACCTGTAAGGGTAGGATAATTTAATCACTATCATTTCTTTTCTTTTCTCTCATTTATCTTATTCAAATAAGAATAACTATTATTTTCTTTTCTTTTCTCTCATATCTATCCAAATACAAATAGAAATTAGTACTATCCTTTCTTTTATTTTATTTTCTCTCATAACTTATACTATCCTTTATTTTCTTTTCTCCCCTATTTATCTAAACACACCCTTAAAATCTAGAAGCATATTAAAACAAGAGAAAAGTGCAAAAAAAAAAAAAAAAAACCGTAACTATTTGCAAATTGCAACTAACTCCCCTGAATTACAAAAAAACTCCTCTGAACTATGAATTTGTTACATTTCAGTCCATTCCAGTGACTGACTTAACTGGAAAAACAAAAAGTATGTTTTACCCTCGAAGGAGTTTTGACCAAAAGTTGACTCCATGTTTCTCTCTTTCCCCTCTCAAAACTCAAATTGCAGATACAAAAAGGAGAGGCTTGAGTTGGGGAAGCCAATAGTGAAAACACAATATATTTTTCTCGAAAAATTTTCGTCTCTTTCGGATTGAAAAAAGGCATCAAACTATGATTTTCTCTTCTGATTGATAGTAGAGAAAATACAAAGAGATGTGAAATCGAATCGAAACATAGGTACCTACGAACACGCATATTCCTGTTCCTAGTGTTTTCTCGTAGGTTCCATACTCATCTCGTCTCATAATATTTCAAAGAATTTCCAATATATATATATATATATATATATATATATATATATATATATATTTATATATATAAACAATATATATGTATTCATTTTAGGAAGGAGCCAGCAATAGGAGAGGCTGATTCAGGGGAAAGCTTGGTTGTTGGCTCGGTCGTAGAGAGCTTGGGGTGATGGTGCAACGACGAAGAGTTGGGTTAAAAGAGTTGGCTTTGGGTCAGAGAGATTGGTTTAAAGGAGAGCTTGTGGGTGGTGGTGGTGAGCGGCGAGTAGGGAGGGAAAAGTTAGGTAGAAGGCGATAAAAGAGTCAGGAGATAACGTCTGCAGCAACAGCGTCCAATGAGGAGAGAGGGTTGGGTTGGATCGACGGCGTTGGTGGCAGAGCTGTGATAGTGCCGGCGTTGCCGGTGGAGATTGCTGGTTCGGGACGACAGGGAATCAGCGACTAAAAAAGTCGCGATTCCGGTGATGGGTTGTTATGAAGAAGCTCGGCCGTGATTAGGTTTGATGGCACCCGGTGGGACTGAACGGCTGCGACCTTGGCTTCAAATGATGGTGGCCGGCGGTAGAGAGGACGTCTCACAGCCACCAGAAGCAACACGCACCCAACCCAAGATGATGCCCCCTCCTCCGCTCTTGCCTTCACCGCCCTATTTTCAAGATTCCACCGCTGAACAAAACATTCAACACCAATCTCTCTCCACCATTACAAACCCTAATTTTTGTTCTTCCCCAACCAGCCACCTTTACCATCCTTTCTACAATCCACCTGTATCTCTCTCTAATCCACCTGCCCAACCTAATCATAACTGCTGCCCAAATATTTGTGTTAAATCTTTCAATCAATTCCCCCTTAAATTCTAGATCTTTGCAACCAAAACTTATTTTTGTTTTGGGGGAAGAATAATCTGTGGTGGTGGCGATGGTGGCCATGAACGGACGATGGAGGTGGTCACCGCGGGGATGGAGTAATAAACATGAGAGCAGAGAGAGGGAAAGCGACATACAGTGCAAGGGCGTGTTTGGCCCTAAAATATGTAGTGTAATTAGGGCGTGTTTGGCAGTAGACAATTTGGTATTTTCATATATTAAAAGGCATTATTGTCCAAAAAATTCTGTTTGTTTGTTGCGTGAGAATTACGCGCTCGTTTTTGGACGGCCGGTAACTGGATGGAGTGATCTGTAATAAATTTGTATAGTTCAGGGGGTTTTCTGTAATTTTGATAGTTTAGAGGGTTAGTTACAACTTTTCCAATAGTTCAGGAAGGTTTTTTGCACTTTTTTCTTAAAACAATACTTAATTTATAATATAAGTGTCCATGTAAGCAGAATGATAAAAAAAAAAAACACACCTCGCCCCACCCAGTACATTAATAATTAATAATTTTAGCCTTTTAAGTAATATATTTTGTATTAAAAATGATTAAAGAAATGTATTAAGCAAAGTCTAAATTACTCTATTATAATTATTTCCACTTCTCAACCCAATGTTCCAACCATTCTCGTCATCCTATGTCAAGAGCACAACGTTCCTCTAGAAGAGTCTAGACAAACACTAGACAATTCCAAAATTCATTTCATTATCACCATTGTCACCGTCTTCCACCACTATTATTGTTGCCGCCTTCTAACACCACCGCCGCCACCACTTTCCAACACCACCACCTTCACTACTATCGTTTTCCACCTCCACCACCATTGTCAGCGCCATCTATCACCATTGTCACCGCCATCTATCACCATTGTCATATCTTTTTTAAACAACTGTAGAAGAACATTATTTTTGTAATTTAATTTAGTTGTCACTGGATATTTTGGAGAATACAATTTAAAATTCATTCAATTCTAAATTTTAAATTGGTCTAATCAAGTTCTAGAAAAATTATTATCATTTCATTCCTACACGTTCTGATAAGTGCTTAAATGTTGCACATTTCAGCACATAACTTGGGGTATTTTAGTTCATTCATCTATTTTACTTTCCCGTTTTAGTTTTAATTTGTGTTTTTGTTCATTTCAGGTCAATAAGGTTCAAACGGGTTAAAAACAGTTTTTTTAAGCTTTTTTGGAGTCGAGTAGAAAATCCGAAAAAAGTTTAGAAAATTGTCTTGGAGATTCATGATCGATTGCAACATTCCATGATTGATCACAGGCCACGTCGTCGTTCGCAGCCACGTCAATAAAGGGATTAGGCTGCCACCTCATTGTTCGTTCAAAGTCACGATCAATCGCAAGAAATCACGATTGGTCGTAATGCTATGTCAGCGCTAGCTCAGCGGATAAGGTTGCCAGTTGTCAAGATAAAACTGCCACGTTAGCAATGATCGATTGTAGAAGTTGACGATTGATCGCAGAAAGCCACAATCGATTGTAACTCTGTTGGAAGTGAGCTATTTTATTCCCGATTTCGCCCGATCTTCACCTAACTTTTGGCTGTGGGATTAAATCATTTTGGGGTTTGTTTCTGACCCATTTTGGCCTCTAAATGGAAGGCAAAAGGAACCATTTTGTAAAGGTTAGCTAATTTTAGATTATATTCACTTTTAGATACATAGTTTTCTCTCTCTATAATTAGGATTTTGTGAAGAAATGAGGCAAGAACTTCAAGATTTCTAGGGTTTCTACCAAGAAGACTGATGAGCGCTGAAAAGTGCGTACTTAAACCCCTTAAACTTAGGCATTCTAGTACCTTTACCTATCTTACTTTACCATTTTAGATTGATTTCGTATTATTTCCATTTTCAGGCACTTATCCCGAAAATAAGCTAACTCAGCCAAATAAAAGCTTAATTGAAGCAATTCTGGGATTAAACAAAGAAATGAGCAAAGTGGAGAAAGAAGAAAGCAAATGAAGCCAAAAGTGGGAAGCAGCAAAGTTCGATCGATCCAAATTCAAGGTTCGATCGATCGAACAATGATCGATCTCAGCACTTCAAGATAGATCCAAGCCTTAGACCAAAAGCATAAAGTCCAAAAGTTCGATCGATCCAACACCACCCTTCGATCGATCGAACACTTTTGTCCTTATTCAAATGATTGATCATATCCACAGCTGTACCCACCTACTAACCACTTTTGTCCTTTTCCCAAAAATATCTCCCAAAATATCTCGGATTTGTCTTTTCCCAAAAAGCTCAGCCAGTTCGATCGATCTAAGTCCAAGGTTCGATCGATCGAACTTCCTCCAGTGCGAAAAAAGTTAAATTTTCAGCTTGTGCAATTCGTCCTCTATCCAATCATTAGAGAATATTCTTTGCACGACCCCAGCTCATTT